AGCCCTGGCACTATCCTGTTCGGTGTTTCAGGGCCGGGCCCACTCAGAGGGTGCGCGATGGTTCCATTTGTATTAGGGACCACAAGGCTGCCGGGATCGGTAATCATTGCTCACTTGTAAAAGAGCACAGCGCCCCCCAGGGGAATCACAAGGAGCTGCAAGTACTGCCTCCAGTCTGTCTTGGACTAAAAAAGGGGGGTTCAGCCTGTTTGAAAAAGCAAACAAGAAACAAAAACAAAAAGGGAGGATTCAGTGTAGACATTCATGAGTTTAAGACACCCTTTGACAATTGTCTCTAAAACAAAATAAAAGGAAAACAACCCAAAAACTCCACCTACAAACAAACTTGTTGAGCAAGGTTTTAAGACGGGTCCAAGAAAGTTTCCAATCAAGTAGAAAATCGGCACTGAGATGAAAGGCCAGCAGATTAAGAGACGATTAAAATGCTGAAGGGACTCCAAGGAGAGACAGCAACACTCCTCCCCTTGACACTCAAGCGGGATGCACCATCTAGACCAGCCTCCCCGACAGGATAGGAAGGAGGAGTTTTGGGGTGGAGACGTCTTTTTCGCGCTGCCGTTCGCAGCTGACCTTTTACATACATTTGCTGACTTGTCAGAGAAATGGTTTGAGACCGGTTCTTTGTTCCTCCCTAAGTCCCGGCGAGGGTAGCCACGGGAGAATGATTGAGTCTGTCCCGGGTGCTCCAGGCCTGAGCTCCTATAACCGGAGATCTCATGGTTCCCGGGAAAATGGGTTGCCGCAGTTCCCTGTGGGAGCAGGGCGCCCACCCCCGGGCGAATCTCCTCGCCTCGTTCCTGGCCAGGTGTGATTGCTGACCGAGATGAGCAAGATGGGAGCCCCAAATCCTGTGGCTTCTTTTAAACTCCCCTCTAATTAGAAGCAGGAGTGAAGTCACTTGAGCGATTTTATCTGTCATGGGAAAGCAAACCCCAACCCGAAAACCTCAGCTGCCGAGCCCAGAGCCACCAACGCCCCACTCTCGCTTTTAAAAGTTTTTAATGAAAAAGATAGAGTCCGGAAGTCGTATGGGGCGTTGGAGCGTGGGGATGGACCCGGAACCGTGGACGTGGGCTGGTGGGCTTTTTACTTAAGTGCTAAATATTCCGACGTAAAAGAGCATGTGTGTGTTCGTAGTTGTAACCCGACTCCTCTGCCCATGGAAGGAGACTGAATCTCGGAGACAGAAATGAAGCAGAATTGCGAATATCTTCACCTATTGAGCAACATTTGATCTGGAATCCACCGCGGAGGCCGCCCTGGGGGTGGCAGCCAGATCCGCTAAGGCAGGCCGTGCCTTGAAGCCCGTGGGCGGATGAGGAGGAGGGGGCGGGGACCCTTTCCCATCGCTAGCGTCCAGGTGTGCCCTGACTCTAGGTCTGGGCCCTTCTTCGGGTCTGGCCCATCCCCCTCAACCCTTCCCCCACCTCTAACCCAAAAGTTCCGGGGCCAAGGGAAAGGTGGAATGAGCTTGCAGACGTCCCCACTACACGACTGCTCAAACACGCGCTCACACTCGCGTGGGACTCAGCAGCCTTCAGCAGCCAGTCCCTGGCTTCGGTTCACTGGCCAGGGACTGACCGGGAAAGCGGGTTAGGGCTGTTGGAAAAAGCTGGAGCTGATGGTGAGATTGCCGTGGCTATAAATCCATCACTTCCCAGGTCAGCTCTGAGAGGTGCTGGGACTAGGGCTGGCGGAGTAAATTCCTAGGCCAGCGCGCATGCGTCGGCAGGTAGCAACCCAGCTCTTTATGACCAGGTGAGATGTTGGTGAGCAGGTAAAAAAAGGAGGATTTGCCTAAGCGATTCCAGGGAGCGGGCCAGGCAGAGCCCTCCAGCCCATGCCCGGCGGGGATCCGTCGCCTGGAGCGCCGAGACGCGATGTCCATACTTGCCAAAATGGGGGACTGGCAGGTACGGGGGTTTGCCTTGGCTGGAGCCGAGGTGGGCGGGGGTGGAGCGGAGGAGGGGGCCGGGAGCGGGGAGGCGGAGAAGAAGCGCCGTGGCCCTGGGCAGGGGAGTCCTTGGTGAGGCACGCCTGGCAGCGCCCAAGAGTGCTCCCAGGAGACAGAAGACTAGGTAAACCTGAGCAGGCGACAGTCTCAGCACTGGGGGAACAAGAGTGCCGCCCTCCGGGCCGGAGTCCGGGAAAAGTCCAGCGCACGTTCCACAGGTGGCCAGGTGGCCCCTGGGGTCACTTGTGCCTTGATCTCCAGCCATTTTCCCACCCTCACCCTAACAGAAACTTAGGTGCATGACTAATTAAGAAGTGGGGAGGGACGCAGGCCTGGAAGTGTGGGCCTGCCTCGTCCTTAGACCCCAGGGCTGCGAGACCGGGTGGGGTTCTGGTGCACCTGTCCGGTTAGTATCCCTGCATTTGCAGGACTTCTGGGGTGGGTGAAAGGGGTTCCGGAAGACTGAATAGAGCCGGGTGACGTTTTCTTGAGAGACACTTTTTTAAACTTTGCCCAAAGTTTAACGATTCGCTCATTCGACTTCCAAGGATGGGTTTTTGGTTCTTGGACTACAGAATTGTGGGTGGTGACTAAAGACTGCAATTTTCGGCACTAGAGCCTGTTAAAGGTAACCCTGCTTGGCCGAGGACATCCCAAGGCGGATGGGCGCTTTTTCCTGGCCTTTCCTGAGCCGCAGACCCCGGCGCCCGCCCGGGAACGTGTTCCCACACATTCTCCTTTCAGGGAAACAAGGGAGGCTCCAGCCAGGTTGAAGTAGCACACCGCCTCTCCCCGGTCGGGGATTTCATAATAGGAACCGCGGGGCCCTGTTTTTGCCCCAGCCAACAGAGGCCTGGTTAGAGCGAGGAGATCCTGTAAGCCACAAGCTTAAGGGGCAATTTGAACCAAAGGCTTCGACCTTCCCAAAGAAAATCCAGAACTGAAAACTTTGCTCCTCCCAGGACAAGGCCCTGGAGTTTGGCTTGCTTTTTTTTCTCCCTCTCTCATTTTGCCTGAGAGTTCCGCCCTAAAGTTCTGAGAGGTGTCATCTCCATTATATTTCCAGGAGTTGGAGAAAGGAAGCTTTGCGTTTGTTTTCCTCTTATATTTATTACTTTTATTTGTCAAGTGGATGTTTTTATTCTCCCTCCCTAGTCAAAACGACTAAATAATACTCCTTCCACAAACTTAGGTTGACTTTTTAAGGATGGGAGTCCTACTCCAAGCCGAAATACTCTCCCCACACAGTGTGGGCTTAACTCCCATTCTGGTTGCTGAAGCTTGGGACAGCTTTCAGTAAATTCTGAAGACCCCTGCAAGGCGTGAGAAGGTGCCCATCACGCAGGCTCTGCTGAGGCTGGGACCAGGCCTCAGGAATGGTGGAGCCCAAGGCCTGCTGCTGAGAGAGCCTCACAGTTTGACAAGAGGCTGGAGCTGGTGGCTTTGAGTCCCACGGGACTACATCCACCAGGCTTGGTCACTCGAGCATACCCCCGCCCCCACGACTCAATCAATGGCTGTTGACGATCAGACAGAAGATAATTCTGGTCCTGGTGTTTCTTTGTTTCTTCTGGTGTCACTGTCTCGAGATAGAGTTCTTTTTCTCAGGTCAGGCCTACATCCTCAGCCCTAACTCCAGGCTTAGCGTTGCTGTCCCAGGGAACTAGGGCCCCTGCCCAGATGAGGCACTGACTGCAATGAGATGGATTGTAGTAATGAAACTCGTGCTAGCGTGAGCTTCGCCTGGCTCAGGGGCTATCCGACTGCTCTCCCCAGCCTTTCTTTCATCAGCGCCCACACCGCGGGCGGCGGCGGCACTGAGCTGCCAGGCCCCAATCTGCACGTCAATGGTGCCCCTGGCGGGAATACAACAACAGTTTAGTAGCCCTTAGCTGGTTTAGAGAGAGAAGTCTGCGGGGCACTGAGCAGCGAATAAAAGGGGAGGTGATGAGGGTTCCATAGGAGAGGATCTAAACCCTGAAGCGCCTTTCCCTCTAGGTCACAACGGAAGGAAAAGAAAGCGAAACTTAAGAGTTCCCTCAAGCACCCTGGCAAGCCTTAGTTCGCAGGATGTAAAAACCCATGCTGGAAGGCCTAGGAGCAGGGCCTACAGGTCACAGGGCACCCTGCTATCGCTGCCTCTGGGAAAGTGGAGGTACTGGCTCCTCCCAGAGGCTGAGCTCCAGGTTTCAAGCCACTTTGCTGCTCAGCAGGCCTTAGGGGAAAATCTTGCGGGGGGGGGGGGGTCTGGCTTGGAATGTTGACCTTTTTCTGGACGGAGTGGGGTGCCAAGCTTCTAGACCCCTCAGCCAAATGACTGCTTAACTGTGAGAAGCCATCTCTAGGGAGAACCCAGTCATTCAAATTCCCTTGTCACTTCTGGCCATGTCTCTGGCTTTTTGGGGGAGGTGTGGCAAGGTAGGATCTGGAGAAGGAAGAATTACTCCCCTTCAGCTTCGGGTGGTCTTCTTCCCTCTCTTGCCTTTCTTCCACCTGTTACTGAACGCTTGGATTCGACGAAGTTTTCACTCCCATGATGGATTCACCATAGAAATAATAGGGAAGGCCTAGCCTAGAGATTTTCTGGGGGGAAAAACAAAAAGAAAAAGAGAAAAGAAACAAAGAGAAAAGAACCAGATGAATCAGAGGTCTCTTATAAGATCTGCTGCTGTTGAGCAGTTCTCTACAATTAACAGGAGAAAGAGACGAAAATACTTTTTAGAGTGCTAGTGGGGAAATAGCCAGAAAAATGCCTGTGAATCAAACTATTACATTAAAGTCTTTGAGGGTTTTTTTTCTTACTTTTAAAATAATTACTGAAAGGGAGGAAGGGTCCCCCGGTGGAGCGAGTAAGCCCCTGAGTGGAATTGGAGAGTGGGGAGTGGTCAGCTTGGCCAAGGGGGTGTCTCCTTCGGGTTCTTCACCAGCCGGCCACTGCGCCGCCAACGCGCCGGCGTTAGTAACATCAAATCAGGAAGGATCGCGTCCTTCTTTAATTAAAAAGGAGAATCTTGGGAAAACTGGAGCCGATTAGCACCGGAAGAGTTGATTCCCAATGATTTATTTTGATGCACGTATGACACAGCACGGAGAGTCTCAGACGCTCATAAGTCTGCTTTTCGGCTCCCTCCAGAAACGGCTGTGCACCGCCAGCCGAATTATGTTCTAGTCCACGCAGCACCTGGGAAACCTTGCTGCCCAAACACCCCGATGAATTGTCAGTTCGCTCCAGCTTCACACCGACGGGAGCAAAATCATTCAACCCCTCGTAGCTGTCGAGTAACCTCTTCAGGGTACAACTTTTATTTTACACGTAGCAATTAGGAGATCGCAAACCCCAACCGAGCCACCGGAGCCGGTTGGCAGAAATCTCCAACCCGGGGGAAAGCGCAAAGCTAATAAAACTCCCAGGGCGCTGCAGCCCGAGGGGGTAACAGCCACAAGCGGAGGTGATCTCCAGTTAGGCAAAAATCCTGGAGTGACTTTGCTGGTCCTGGTTTGGTGGTTTCGATTCATTGCGAAAGGGGTAATGGTTTCTAATAAAATCGGACGGGGACGAAAAGCAGATCGGATAGTGGCGGCTGTAGTAGCTGGGGTAGGGGGTACTAAAAGTTGGTCTCTTGGCGCCGCCGCTGGTACCCTGCGTACTACGGAGCTTTATCCAAGTCATCTTTGGCTGGCAGGATCCGAAGATAGGCGAAGGGAAAAGGGATGAAATTGGACCGGGGTAGGGGCCTCTGGAGCAAGGGAAGGTGGTGGAGCTTTGGGCAGAGCTGTTGGGTTAGCAGGCAGGCGGGCGTGTGCTCTGGGAGCTAGTTCGCGGCTTGAAGAGGCCTTTATACCGGGGTCGAAGCGGCCGGCGGCAGATTGTGGTCCTGGCGAGCAATTGGACTATTGTTGATATGCTAATGAGGCGATTAGGCTGTTGGTGAAGAGCAGGAAAAGGGAAAAGTTTCTACCATTAGAGGGAGATCTCCGAGCGCACACGGGAGCTCTCTAACCCTTCTCTCCTCCTCCCTCCTCGCCCTTCTCCTCCTGGCCCTCCTCCTCCTCTCCCTCCTCCTCCTTCCTACCCTTCTCCTCCTCCTCCTCCTCGCCCTCCTCTCCTCCTCCTCCTCTTGTGCTCACCGCCCGCAGCCCGCACTTTGCGCTAACCTAGAGAGTAGCTCCGCTGGGGTGCGAGGCGCAGAGGGGCAAATCCGATCACGCCGATCCATGAAAATGCTTTGGAAACTGACGGATAATATCAAGTACGAAGACTGTGAGGTAAGCGCGGCGCCGGCTCAGTCATCCTCGCGGCCACTGGCTTGGAGATCGACCCTCCTCTCCTCCTCCTCTCCACGCAGCTAGCTGAGAAATGCCGGTGGAACAAACTTTCACCAGCGCTGCGCCCGCCCCTCGAATTCGCCCGAAGAGCACGGGGGAGAAGCTGGAGAGGGTGCACATGGTTCTTGCTTCTTTCACTTTTGTCCTTTGAAGCTCGTGTCCCACTTTCCGCCCCTTTTTTCTGCTTACTTTTGGGTTTGCCTGAGAGTGGAACTAAGAGACAAGCTTGTGTTTGTTGGTTTTTTTTTTTTTTTAAAGACTTGCTGGCAACTAGGCACGTGCCTGTGCACTCCGGTGTCTCTTGGACAAGAATCTAGGGGCACCCACAGTAGCAGGAAGAAAAAAGAAAATGTTCCCCCTTTCACCTACTCTCTGAGATTAATATTCCCTTTTCTTTCATTCATTCTTTTCTTTCCAAAGAGGTTCCCTTCTTGCATTTGGAGAAGGGTCCACACCCTTCGCCCTGACCTGGGCCGCACCTCCCTGTAAGTGAGTTCGGCTTGGGAGCCCTCAAATCAGCCTCTGGGCTCACTCCTTAGCTCCTACGTTCCTTGAAGTTCTAAGTAGTTTCTCCCGCCGAGCTATGGGGTGGACACACCTTAATGGTGGTGGCTGAGTGCAGATGCACCACTGGTCTCTCTGTGTCAGGGGGGAAACTTGTGCCTGCGGGCTCTTAGCTGCGGGACCCTGAGAATCCTGGCATGACTGAGGATCACCTCCGGTTTTCGAGAGTCCGCTGGGACCACAGAGCACTCCCCTTGGGGATACATTTTAAAACCCAGGGCCCCGGAGCATAACTTTTGAAACAGCCAGGGAGGCATGGAAAAAGAACCTTCCGCTTGCAGGGAGCCGGGCCTCGACCTTGGTTTTACAAACCCCATTGAAAGGAGTTGATGAGTGCATGGTGCAGTGGAGGGGTGGGAGACCCGTGATTTCCAAATAAATATGTAGCAGTCTTGACATTTGCTGTTCTTCTTTTGCTTTATTTCTTTTCCCTTTGGCATTTTGAGCTGGGGATTCCGGTAGAAGCGTCTGTGCGCGGGCACAGAGGCAAGAATTCTGTCTTAAAATCAGGAACTGGGTTTGTGTGAAGGAAGTGTCACCCACTCCCTCCCTTTTTCCTTTTTTATACTATCTTATGCCTTCTCCTTTCTGGCACCCCCTTTACCCCTTCCCATTCCCAACCAGGTGGATGGGACACTAGGTGGCATCCCACCAGGATCTGCGCATCTCTGGGGGCTCCTGTGGCGGGCCAGGAGGGGCGAGGGGGACCCCACGTAGGACCAGACACTTTGTTTTAGAGGTTAAGGGTGCCTTTTGCCGAGAGGCCTAGGAACCACTGAGTCTCTGTTAGAGTAGTTCGTTTCTTAGGATTCTGAGTTCCTTCTCCAGCCTAGTGATTTTTTTTACTTTCTCGGAACCTAAAACTCAGTTCTGGTTGCCGGGGTCCTGAGTGGAAGGGTTGATAACCCTCGCCTGGCTCTACACACCCAAGGGGTCTCGAGGAGTAGGGGTGAGATGAATTTGAATCCCCAGAGAGACTCTGGAGGTGGGTGAGAGTGAGTGGGTGATGAGAATGGAGTAGGAAAGGAGAAAAAAAAAAAGTCTGGACAATTTGAACAACTTTATGGCGGCGGGTTAGCTAGCGCTAGAGCAGGGATTTCGGGTTTCCGAGCGGGCTTGGAGTTGTCTGATTTGGCTGAGGCTCTGCAGGGACACGCAAGAGGCGAGGTGCCGCTTGTTCCGACAACCGGCCGGGCAGACTGGCAGCGGCGACGCGCGGGGAGAGCTAGCCCTGTCATCTAGGGGGTGTCGGCGGGAGTGGCCCAGCCAGTCCGACGGGTTTGTGCCGGGAGCCGCGAGCCCTTGCCAGAGGCGCCTAGGCTGGGCCGCTTCGCGTCTGTGCGCGCCCGGGGCTGCGTCCGGGCTCCCGCTCCCGGAACCCGGTACAGGGACCAGGCGAGATCAGAACAGTCACAGGCGAGGAGCTCACGGCCCCGAGGTCCTAGGGAAAGCAGCTCGCGACCGGGCGGAAGACAAGGGTTGGCGAAGCGGGCGGACCGGTCTCAGGCGGGACGCCTGGTCATGGAGGAGCAGCGCGTCAGCGGGCACCCGAGTTCCGAGTCCCAGGCCCCGCCGCGCAGCAGAGAATCCCGCGGTCGGAGAGCGGCGGGAAGCACCTCCCAGACGCAGAACCCGGTGGGCAGCCGCGCGCGGGTCCCGGGAGCTCCAGCCCGCGGCGCGCGACCCCCGCTCCATCCCGAGGTCTGCCCCAGCCTTATAGGTCCGATTGTCCTCCCTCGCTTCCTCTCCCCTCCCCCTCCCCCGCGGGCTCCCCCTCCGCAGCTCCGGCTCGGCCCCCTCCTCCCCCTCCCTCCCTCCTACCCTCCCTACCTCCTCCCCGGAGATCCCTCCTTCATCCCTCCCTCTCTCCTCTCCTCTCTTCTCCTGTCGCCCACACTTTCTTTCTCGCGCACGCACGCAGACACATCCTCCCTCTTCGCGTTCTCGCCCCTCGGCCTTCCTCTCTCGCCTTCTTTCTCTTTCACTTTTGCAGGCCCTGCAACCTTTTAAAATGTTGCCCCTTCGCTGTGATTCGCCAGACGCCGCGCCGCGGCCCCCCGCACGCTCGCCCGCTCCCTCCGTCGCCCGCTTTTTGTCTCTCGCGCTCCCTCTCCCCACCTCCGATTTGCTACACTGAGACTCCCGTCAATGACTGCATTGAGAGCCGGCTCCGGCGCGAGTTGCCTCTCCGCTTCACGCTCGATTTCCAGGCATTCTTCCCTTATTAAGTATTCGTGTAATATTAATAGTCATGAATATCTGCTATTAGGAGGCTCCAGGAACGCTGCCCAGCGCGGTTATCAGAAGCTGAAGTGAAGCCGCCGCTAAGAAAAGAGGGGGAGACACGGATTAAGGAACACTCACACACTCCACACACGCACGCACACACGCGCGCGCACACACACACTTTTCTCTCTTTCTCTCTCTTTTTTTCTTTTTGCATTTTTTGTTTGGTGTTTTTGGTTTTTTTTCTTAAAGAACTTTGAATCCTAACCGATCGCGGCAGGATCGTGGGTTCGACCAGCTGAAGGCGCCGCGCGACTCGGTGGTACAAGTTCGGATGGATCCGAGCGAGGCTCCGGCGCTCGCGGGAGCGTCCGCGCGGTGACTGGAGTCCTGGGTGTCGCGGGGCTCTCGGAGTCTTTTGTGTGGGGCTCTCTCGGGCAGCCGGGTGCTCCTGGCGTGGTGGTTTTTGGCATTTTTGGTTTGTTTTTGTTTTTTTCCACCCTGACTGGTTACCCCAGACTCTTCGCAGATGTTAGTTCACAGTTTTTCAGCTATGGTGAGTCCCACCCCACCCCCACCCATCCCTGTTTCCTTAGGAATTCTGTTCCCGAAACCCGTAGCCGAGTTACTGCCCGAGATCCAGGGCTTCTCGGCCCGGGTTCCTTGTGGACAACTCTTTCCGTTTGCATTCCTATCCCCCCCTTTCCTCCTTACTCTGACTCTTTCCATCCCCAAATCCAACGCGTCGTCACTACCTTGTTCCTGCTGGACCTCTCGGCTCACGCAAACCTACCCCGCAGCTCTTTCCCTGGGCCAGTTTCTCGCCTGGTTCATCTTTATTTCCTTGTGTCTTCGCTTGTTCCAGAGCCGCTCTCCACGTCTGAGCTTAATCCGTCTGTAGGGGAGTGAAAGACGCCCCGGTGCGTCCCTCTAGCCCGGGGCCTTGAGGCTGAACCTTGGAGGGTTCCGGGTCTCTGGAACCCACTCTTGGCTTGCTTTGAACGTAAACTGAGGGGTTTCTCTTGCCCTTTGGGGCTGGGGTGGAAGGGGCGGGGGCCTCCGCCCCCGGGTGCTTCTCTTTCTTTTAAAAAGAACCCAGTAAGGCAGATCTTTCTATTTTAAACCCTGGCTCGGCGTCCCTTACTCTCCATTCATATCATAAAACGACCCTGCCGTGTAAAAACCTCCTAACAGAGGAAGCGGAAAAGACAGACCCCCCCACTTCAACCATGCAGTTAAAGCCTTTAAGCTGGTAATTTAAACGTGTGCTTTCTTACGGCCCCTGTGCGAAACATGTTTCTATTTAAATAGTCGTGAAATGGTAATAGTCTTTGAAGGTTTATGATTTTCCCCCTCCAGATTAAAGGAAGAGTAAACAATAACGCAGTGGCAGACAGGTTCAGATCCGGGAAAAGCAAAGGCCGCTTCTGCTGTTTAATATTTAGTGGCTGTTTGAATTTTGCTTAAGGGAGGTTTGGTACTGCGGGTATTAAGGGCTGTACTACAGGACATCCTTTTTGCATCTCCTTTCCTCCTTGGAGAAAAATGTCTGGGAGAGTCTGCTGTACCCCTGGATTTACATATTCTGATTTCTTTGCGTGCTTTGGAAAGGCCTGCTTCACTTCTTGGGTATTTTCCAATGAGAACAAACATAGAGCAGATACCCCCACCCCAGCGTCCTGAGGAGGGGAATGGGTGATTTCCCCACAACGGCTTGGGGGATGAATTTAGTGGGGGCAGCTAAAGCTCTGTGCTCATTTCTTATTCTTTCCCTTTCGTCTTGCTTTCTTCCAGGACCGTCACGACGGCACCAGCAACGGGACTGCACGGTTGCCCCAGCTGGGCACTGTAGGTCAATCTCCCTACACCAGCGCCCCGCCGCTGTCCCATACCCCCAATGCCGACTTCCAGCCTCCCTACTTCCCCCCGCCCTACCAGCCCATCTACCCTCAGTCGCAAGATCCTTACTCCCACGTCAACGACCCCTACAGCCTGAACCCCCTGCACGCCCAGCCACAACCGCAGCACCCGGGCTGGCCCGGCCAGAGGCAGAGCCAGGAATCTGGGCTCTTGCACACGCACCGGGGGTTACCCCACCAGCTGTCGGGCCTGGACCCTCGCAGGGACTACCGGCGGCACGAGGACCTCCTGCACGGCCCACACGGGCTCGGTTCCGGGCTCGGGGACCTCCCGATCCACTCCTTACCTCACGCCATCGAGGACGTCCCGGTAAGAGGCGGTGCTGCGGGCCGCGGGGAGGGAACGCAGCCCTAGGCTCACCTGCCCTCCCGGAAGCTTCGTGGAGCCCAGGCCTGCGGGGCCTTGGTTTTCCTCAATAATAATAATTGGGACTGGAAGTGATACTCACTTAAACCACTGAATTTAAAAATGAAAAAGTAATTGAGAACAATGCTTCCTGGGGCTCGCACAACAATACCTGGGTTACCACTTCGAGCCAACACAGAAATAGATCAGGCGATTGTCACCCTTCATTGTAGCGTCTCCTCTCCGTGACAATAAATTGTGTAGATTGTGGGGGAGGATTTAATTCCATTGCTGAATGTGTCGTGGGGATTTCTCGCTGTTCTAGCAAAGAGGTTAAATTTAGCCCAGAGAGCTGCTGCTCAAAGGCGCTCACAAAGTAAAAGAAAGTGTGAGAGACTCAGGAAAAAGGTCCTTGAACCGGGTTTTATAAGCATTAGTGAAACCCAAAAGTTATGCCTCCCCTATCCTGATCAAAGGGAAGCAAGTAGCAAATCCAAGCACAGGGACCTTAAAATGCAGCTTTCTTCTCTTCCTGGGGGTGCTAAGTGGTGACCTCATAAATCATTAGCTAGGTTCCCAACGCCTATCAGAATCTGCTACACTGCATATTCAATTAAATGTTTGGAGACTATTGGGCGCTGCGTTGAGTTCTAATTCAGTTATCAATAAATGCGGTTTAAAATGATTTCTAAATAAGGACGGCCTCAGCACATGTACTGTTTACAATGTAGCTCAGGCTATTGATAATTTGAAAATACTTTTTAAAATTAAATTGCAACCAGCATCTCAACTTCAGCTCTATAAATTTATGGTTTTCTCACAATCTTCCTGAAATGGAATTAGAGTATATATATATATATATATATATATTAAACACTGTAAAGGCTTCTGTTAAAGGTACTTTTCTTTGGAAAGGAAATGTATCTGGATGTGATTTTTGCTTAAATGCTATTTCAAATTACTGCATCAAATATAGCAGCGGTATGTCTGTTGACAGTTTAATGATTGCTGAATTAGATTGTAAGGAAAACGGCCACATGAACTTACCTGATTGCCTGGCAGATTTAAAACGTTCTTGAAGTTCTACAGGAAAATAGAAAATTTATTACCTCTCTCATTTAGCCCAGTTAATCACTGAAATTTGTTGGTTATGCTTAACAGCCTTGCATGGAACACAGGAAAGCAGGCACTTGATCCAATGCAAGGCTTAGTGAGCTGTGTGTGTTGTGTGTGTGTGTGTGTGTGTTCATATTTGTATGTTTTTAGAAAATGATGCTTAGTGAATCTGAGGCAATATTTCATAAAATTAATTTTGAACAAAACTAGAAGTTATGATGATTTTAATTTTCGTTCTCATAGAGTCTATGAATTCTTTTCTTTGCCTGTTTTCTGGGAACACAACAATAGCAAAATAATATCTTAAGTCTTGGAATAATATCTTAAGTATTGGAAATAGATTTACTTCTGCAAAAAATATCCTGTGGTTGGTGGTGATTCTTCATAGCTGTGTGGTCACTCTTTGTGATGAAATTGGTCAGTAGGAGAAATTAGCCAAATGATCATATAAAAACAAGAAACTCAGTTGCTGTTCTTCCCACCCTCCCCCACCTTTCAAGGAAAAAAAAGATCTTTCAAAGGAATTTGGGTCAGGAAAAGGGTTGTTTTCAATTTTCTCATTGCTGCCACAGTTAACTTTTAATAAGAATGACTGCTAAATATTTAAGAAAATCAAGTCGATGGTGAAAATTATTTAATCATTAATATCTCAGTGGGGTTTTAAACTTAACAGTCTTCCCTGTTTGGACAAGGTCTAGCTAGAAATAACAGAAATAAAAGTATTATGCCACACTACATTTACTTTATGGGTTTAGGGTGCATGCATAAAGGGATCATATTTCCCCATATAGTTAAAACACAAGAACTGCAGCAGTAGTCATTTCTGAACATTTCTCAATTTAATTATACTTAAATCCAGAAGCACTTTAGGCAAGTTACAAATGAGAGCATTGAGTATAATAAAACCTGTAATAAAGCAACTTAGTACCATCCACCCGGAATCATTGCGATCAGGCACAATTAACAGGAGCATAAATCCAAGACAGAATGGAAAGTGTTCGAATCAGTATTATTGTTGGACAAAGACTAGAGAAGGAAGTAATAGTTTTTTAAATGGCAATGCCTGTGCTTGGTAACGATTGCGAAATCTTCTCTCTCAGCAACCCTGGTGCTAATTTGTAAACACAGCCAGACATTATATTGCCTGTCAGTTTCTGCATTAGAAAACATGATTTCATTTTACTTTCTAATCACGTTTTGGTTCTAGCACACACACACACACACACACATACACCCATGCACACGTATACCCATCCATCTGTAAAGAGAGAGAGAGAGAGAGAGAGAGAGAGAGAGAAAGAGAGAGAGAGAGAGAGAGAAGGGGGGGGCGCCCTACACTGCTGCTGGACAACGGGAAGGCAGCCTCAGAGGGTTTTTGTCCCTGATAGTTCCATAGTTCCACATTCCTGCCAGATTTACTGTAGGCAGCAGCTTTTTTGAAAACAAAAACAAAAACATATATTTCTAGTTTTCCTTGAGTGAAGGGGTGTGTGTGTGTGTGTGTGTGTGTTGGTGCTTTGTTGCATTACCTGCAGGGTTTCCAACACTCTGCTGTTGCTCCCGCCCCTGTCATTTCTTCTATTGTGTTTCCTTGGCCTTGGCTGCCTGGACACTGGAATCCCCCGAGGTTCCAGAGCTGCAGAGCAGCTAAAGCTAGGTGCATTTCTAAAGGTTGAGCTGCCTGTGAAACAGATTAGGAACTCCCAAACTTCATTTAATTTTCAAAGAAAGTTTTATTCCCCTTCCCCGTCCTCTTCAACGTGGATTATCTGCAGGGACTGGGGGAGGGAGGGAGGGAGGAATGGGCTGTGGGCGTACAGTGAAACCTCTCGAGTTTTAAATCTCTAAATTCAGTAAGCCAAGATGAGATGTTTATATATAAATGTCATTATGGGGGGGCACTCCCATCCTCCACCTTCCCCTCCCCCACCTTCCAGGGAATATTCATTTCCTTTTGTTTTGATTATACACTTACATTCATGTGTATCCTTTTGTTGCAGCATGTAGAAGACCCGGGTATTAACATCCCAGATCAAACTGTAATTAAGAAAGGTAAGCCATTTCCTTCTGCATTCCAAGCATGTCCTTACAGGCAGAGTGCTATTTAAAAGAACTTGCTGGGCTGTATTTATTTTTTTTCAAATAGGATTTCCTAAAGGCTCAGAATTAGCAAATAGATAGGCATAGAAGAACAGCGCTTAAAGAAGCGGCTTTCGGGATCTTGGTAATGGCAACAGGCTAGCTTTGTTCAGACCATGATTTCAGCGCTGAATTCAGTTTAATCATATTTGAACAAAATGAAATGTGCGATAGTTGACCTGATTTGGAAGTGGCATTTCAATTTGGAAATGGTTTCATCGTTAATTCATTGTGTGGAGTTAAAGGCCATGAGGGTTAAAAAGTGTATCAAGCTGAAATAATACAAATAATTTAATATTAATGAAAAGACAGATGAAAAACAGCACTCTATTGGGGGAAGAAAACTTGCATGCTCTCTGATTTTGTTTCTAGTCTCTTGATGGAGTCTCAGGGCTTTAAAACTTGGAGAATTAGGTTAACAAAAATTTAGTTTTTGGTCAAAGTGGCATCTTGAAGATGTCACTATTGACCTACGTATTTAGAAAAGAAATTGTTAAAAATGTGTTACATGGTTTGAATGAATTTATCATCTGCATTGTGCTTAGTGAGTAGAAATAAAGTTTCTTGCATTAAATGCAGTAGCAGTATTTTTGTTGTTGTTGTTGTTATGGGAGAAATAATTTCAGGGTTCTAGGCACGCACCAGAGGACGATGGTAGAGAAAATGTTCTCATTTCTAACCCCAATCAGTATATTGTTAGCTAGTTTAAAGTTTCATTTTTGCATCTGTGAAGTCTTTGTCATGTCAAATTAGATGTGCAAGGGATAAATCTTAAGAGGTGCTCTTTCCAAGTCGACATGATAATTGGCTCTTTTATTAGTAATCTCTCAAGAGTTCGTTTAACTCCTATTGTCTCTATTAGCCTCCCCAGAGCTATTAATGTCACAAGTGATCTATCCAAAACCTAGAGCCCCTCACCTCCCCATACGACTAGAATATCCCCATTAACAAAACAAAACAAACAACAATACCAAAAATACATGAGAAGCGTTGTGATGAGACTGTATGTTTATTATTATATGCCTCCATGTGGAATTTTAAGACTCAAATGCATTGTACTTAAATGGTTGCCGATGCATCTGAATTATATTGGTGTTTAGAAATGGACCCCTCGTTTTGCTTGAATTTGTTTTCTAACAATGGTAGGTCCAACAATGAAGAGCTTATGGTTTTAACTGATTGTATATCCTACCCCCCCATCCCTTTGAAGGGACTTAGGCAGACAGGGTTCATTTAGTCTTTGCTCAACAAAAGGATGCATTCCTAGTGTTCAGCTGTAGGCCTATTCTTGAGTCCCGTTCAAAACTGGGTTTGGAATGGTCTCCAAAACCCGAGTGTCTTTCAAAATGAAGCATAAGTGTCTATCGATGAAAAGACGTTCGTGTTGTGTGTGACAACAGAATCCGCCACTTGCCAGTCAGCTAAATGGAATGTTCATTTACTGGCTGCTGCAGCCATCAAAACTATCCGCTGGTTTTAACGGCAATTCCCCCCCCCCCCCCCGCACTGAGCCTTTCGTCCACAAAACCCGGACCACATCAACCATGCCCTGGGGTTTGCACATGAAACCCACCCGCTGTCTCCCCAAACAAACACCATCTCCATCTCTCCGGAGCCCTCCGCGAGCCCCGGGGGTAGCGACAGCACCAGCCACCTCTAGACAGCTTGCAGCCAGGCTGATGGCAGGAAGCCGCTGCGGGATTCCTGAGCTGAGCAGCGCGCGGTCGGCCGGTCCCCTCAACACGCGCGTCTGTCTCCGCAGGCCCTGTGTCCCTGTCCAAGTCCAACAGCAACGCCGTCTCCGCCATCCCCATCAACAAGGACAACCTCTTCGGCGGCGTGGTGAACCCCAACGAAGTCTTCTGTTCAGTTCCGGGTCGCCTGTCGCTCCTCAGCTCCACCTCGAAGTACAAGGTCACGGTGGCGGAAGTACAGCGACGCCTCTCACCGCCCGAGTGTCTCAACGCGTCGCTGTTGGGCGGAGTGCTGCGGAGGTGAGGCCCGGCCCCGCCCACCTTGCCCCGCCCCGCCCCGCCCTGCGGACGCGGCCCCAGTGCGCCTGCGCTGGGGCAGTAGCGGTCCCGCACGCGGGCAGGAAAAGGGGCGGTGAGGAGAGGGGAGCCTGGTGGGCGGGGCTAGGAGTGAGAGGTGGGGGCGAAAAGAGTGAGGCGGCGCGCCTGCGCACTCCGGGGACTCGGCTTTCTTCAGCACGCACGCGCAGCTCTCACTGCTGCGGGCTCAGTCCCTGCCTTGGCAGCCATGGGGCGCCGTGCAGCTGCCTTTTCCCTGGTTGTGCACAGGTTACAAGCTCAGGAAAACTTCTGGGCTCCTTGCTTTGGCTTACCACACTGTAGGGACTCTGATGGGAACCGGCCGCCCTTGAGTGGAGGCTGGTTCCCAAGTAAAGCAAGAGAATGACTTCTGCTTACCGCATGCTTCCCCTACACTGGTTGCTGGCATCTCCCTCCTGAAGGCATCCCTTACCCCCAACCCCAGTCTTGGTGGTGCCAGAGGCACTGGCTTTTGAGGTTTCTGATTTACTGTGATGTGTGACAGGCAGTGTTCAGGGCACATTTCCAGTTTCTATTATGTAGTCGCTCTCGGGGGACTGCATCCGTTAACATAGGATTCTCACCTTCCTGAGAGCCCTTTAGTAGGTAAGATTTCACACGGGCCAGGTAGACAGAGGGTCTCTTTCCTCAAAGCCAGTTGTGTGTCCTTCTCCATCTTTGAAGTCTACCCAATGGTGTGAGTTGTAGGCTTACTGTTAGTTTTGACCAAAAAGTATGTCTCTTACTATCTTCTCCATATAAGACCTGTAATTCACTGCCTAACTTCCCCCCCCCCCCCGGAGTTGGGCCTTGGTGGGTACAGCCCACCTACATCCTCTTAGAGGGTTTTTACAGAATTAATACCAGCGTCTTCGTTCAGTCATTTGTTTTTTTCCCTGAGCTCTTTTACTGCCACAGATCTTTCTCTGCCCTCTGCTTTTTCCTCCCCTTCCCCCATCACCAGTATCGGAGCCTGCTTACCTAAGGGAGTATAATCTAATCCACACAATTAAAGAACCACTTGAGTAGGGAATAAAATCTGAAATTAATTAATTTGCTGTTTTATTTAAACAATTTATCTTAACCACTTTCTGATTATGGGAGTCTATTTAGACATCTATTTAGAAGTGCCTCCATTGTCTCTGAAATCGGGGCGATTTTTGGAGGCTGGTATCAGGCGTCATCCTTTTGGCATTTCCAGTTACGCTCCTGGCATGGCATGTAAACAGTTGTCGAGATGCATTCCCCATTGGGACCAAAGCCAGGACATGAAATGCGCGCATGATGATAACTTTGGTTACTGGGAACAACTTAACAGCAGACCTTGTGAAGACAATTTAAAGACCCCACTGGGGTTTATGTTCTTGTAGCAACAGGGAAAACACACAGTAATCAGCTGATCTCAAGAATACTTCCAACTCTAGAGTTTAGATGTGTGTGTGTGTGTGTGTGTGTGTGTGTGTTGCTCTTCAGAGAACTGGAAAGTTAAAAGCTCCCAACCTGCCACAATAGTTGCAACTGTAACTGAACACAGTGGGTGCTTTACAGTTGGACAATATCATAGGCGATCTTTCTGTACGGTTAGTTCCTTAGGTTCTTGTCCCCTGCCTTGGGGTCATGCCTCTCAGTTTTTAAGAACATGTTTGAGAAAGTATTCAAAATGGCTTTAATGTGACGAAGAGCAAGTCAGCATTTTCTAAATCCCCGTCTCCACGTGTTTATGAAACAGAGCGAAGTCTAAGAATGGAGGAAGATCTTTAAGAGAAAAACTGGATAAAATAGGATTAAATCTGCCAGCAGGGAGACGCAAAGCTGCCAACGTCACCCTGCTTACATCACTAGTGGAAGGTAAGCGAATCCACTCGCTGACTAGAAGGGAATTGTTGTCTGGGCAAATGGATAATATTTAGTGGCCAGATGTTTGAGTGTGTTTTGTGTACTTGGATGGTTTCACCTTTCCATGGAATATAACTATAACTGGAAGTGAGCAGAATTCTGGCGTGTCAAGGAAAAGCAAGAAACAAAACAAAACAAAACCTCATGCCTATATGTTGCTCCTCCTCTCTACCACAAAATTATCTTGTCCTCAGCACAAATCTGCCCTAAACAATGCTCAAATCTAACAGTTACACACTCTCCGGGTTCCTGCCTCCCCTCAAGAGCTCAGTGGTAAATCACCTAAGTTATTCTGACATCTGCATTTGAGAAATGCGTGACCATTACTTCCTGAATTAATTTCGGAATCTTTGACCTGCATCCTGATTTAAGACCATCCTGAAAGCTCAGGGTTCAAAGCCCTTGTAGGTTGTTGTTTTCCAAACATACACTTTCTTGTCTCTTGCTTCACTGTGCTTCTTTCTCTCCAGGAAGTGAGCAATTTTAGAATTTGGATTGTCAGATACAGAAAGAGGCAGACACATTTTCAAAGAGTTTCTTGTGGCAGGTTCTTAGCACACGCCCTTCCAAATTCCTTAAGCCAAAACACCATCTCTGTCCAGTTATACAAAGCCTGTCACCAGAATCTGCTCACATTCCTGCCTCCTAGATTCCTAACTTTTTCTGATATTCAGTTGGTGTAAGGTTGGGATTCAGGGTTGGGGTGAATGCATGATTTTCTTGTGCTTTTCTTTATGGCCTGTTATATCTCATGTTAATAGTAAACTAAAAAGATAGTGATTTATTATTCCCAGGCAGATTTAAGGCCTGCATTCGTATTTCAGTGAGGCAGATTTATCTTATTTGCATAGTGTGTTGGGGGAGATACTGCCCATTGCATACAAGTTTTTGGTTTTTTTTTTTTTTGGAAGTTTCTAGAAAGCATCTGACAAATGCTTCTGAGGAGGAATTCTATGATTTCCATGTGTTAAATGGTGTTGGATATGATGATAATGTAATTTAAAAAAGAAAAAGCAACCCCAGCCATTGTTCAGGTCCCAAAATTCAAATACAGCTACATTATATTAAAATAATGGTAGTCTGTAGAAAACCCACTGTTCATATCCTACCCCCCAAATTACACATCATGAGAATGGTGGTGGCAGCTGAGGATGGAGTGTGAGGGTTGGTCTGGGTCTGGGGGTTGCGCTGCAGTGGGGAGGCAGTTTCTGGAGAGCTGTTATTGTTTGTGATCCGCTCCATTTTATGGAAACAAGCTCTGCGGAGAGGGCTTTGATGCTCTAATTGGCGCATGCGTTCTTCCGGAGCTGGAGCTAATGGCAGGAAGCCCTGCAGTAAAAACCAACTGGTTCAGGAAATTAAAACCAAAGATTCGAAAATCAACAACACAGACAGACTCAGTGGAGTGACCCTCAAATCCTCCTGGTTAATCGGCTTGGATGAACAGATAATTATATGTGATCAAGTTAAAATGTAAACTCTCAGTTGGTTCCCTTGCTGAAAAGCTCGAGGAGTAATTATGAAACATCATGGATGAATGTGTTGATGGGTGTGAGTTGGGATAGCAGGGCCATTTTCAAACAGAAGTTGGGGAAACTAGTTAGGGATGGGTAGGGGGCAATAGGGGAGGATTAACATTTTCAAACCATTTTGACCTTGTAAGCCAACTCACTTTTATGGGTGAGTAGACTCCAGGTCTCACAGAGTAAAAATGTCTAAAGTAAGAAAACAAGGGGATTCTGTTCCTTCCAACTTTTAGGGAAGAAACTTAAGGGAGTTGGGTGTGGAGAGGGAAGGGAACTTTGATCCCAATTTCTTCCTTCTCTGGCCCTTACTTCCCTCCTCCTACCTCTTGCCAGGAGAAGCAGTCCACCTAGCCAGGGACTTTGGGTACGTGTGCGAAACTGAATTTCCTGCCAAAGCAGTAGCGGAATTTCTCAACCGACAACATTCCGATCCCAATGAGCAAGTGACAAGAAAAAACATGCTCCTGGCTACAAAGTAAGGCATTTACCTCTGCTGGGTCTAGGCTGTTCACTGTCGAAAGAATCTTAGCTTCTGCCTTCTCTTTTCCATTCTTATGGGGCAGCTTTTGCTGGGAATACTGAAGGCAGAGCACAGACATGAACGAGCACAGTATGCTTCCCCGAGGAAGCAGAGTGCATTGTCAGTGTGCTTCGTGTGTTTCCCCTCACTCCAGTCTCTTTCTTATTTGCTAACTTTTAAATGAATGGGAGTGTGCGTGGTTATGTGGCCGGCATTTCACTGAAAGGGTGTGGGATTTGTGACAACATTGTTTCATTAAAAACAAAAAAAAAAACAAAAACCAAAAAACAGAGTCAAGTGCTCAAAGGTACCAACCAGGCTCGCCTAGGTCCACATTTTGTCTTTTATCAGTATGTTCTCCAAGGGCAAAGATTAAGCTGGGACCTGCAATAGGTGCAGTCCTGACACTGCCCTACTTTCACCTCTAATCTGGATTCCATTTTTCCATTCTCTTCTAGCCTCAAAAGTGTTTCTCTCTCTCTCTCTCTCTCTCTCTCTCTCTCTCTCTCTCTCT